CCCCCCCCCCCCCCCGCCGGAGACCCGGGTCCACCAGAAGAATGAGGGATTGCTCCGCGGGCTCAAAGGCCCGCCCTGGGGACGCACCCCGGCCGGGCGCTTGCCCATTTCTCGCCCGCCTCGCGATCCCCCCCCCCCCTCCCCCCTCCCCTGCCCTGTCTCTCGCTCCTCTCCCCCCTGGCCCTCTTCCTCCCGCCCCCGCAGCCGCAAGCCTAGCCGCCTGCGATCCTGTCCTCCGTCCCTCCTCCCTCGTTTCCCCATGCTTAGCGCTGTTGTTTCCCGGCGCCTGGCCGCCTCGGCCGCCTCCTCCGCCTTCCGTGGCCCGGCTGTCCAGCCGGCCGCGGCGCGCCTCTTCTCCCAGGCCGTCCAGACGGACGAGCCCGCCGAGCAGGCCCTGGAGGAGATCCCGGAGGCCGCCGCCCCTCCCAGCAAGCGCTCTCTTCGTCGCGCGGCCAGCATTTGCACCTCGCACCCGCGTGGCCTGCTCAACCGCCTCGAGGCCCTCGAGGTCCGGTCCAAGCCGACCCTCATGGAGAACGGTGTCTGGCGCAAGCCCCTGGTTCGTCCTCCCCCCCCCCCCCTCGGGCTCTGTCTCTTGTCCCTCCCGCATTTTCCAGACACTTACTCCTCCTCTCCCCCGTCTTCTCTTTGCCCTACTCGCGTGTGCGTGTCTCCGCATGCACGCCCCGCGCGCCCACACAGGACAGCAAGCGCACCATCGCCCGCCTGCGCCGGATGGTCTACCTCGGCAAGCTCAACGGCGTGGAGCTCGACTGGCCGCTGCCCGAGAAGCAGCGCACCCCCATGCGCGGCATCGCCCGGCCGCCCAAGCTCCACAAGGACGAGCACACCAAGCAGGCTCGGTGCGCGCTCGCCTCTCTTCCTCCTCCAGCGAAGGGGGCAATACCTCCTCTCTTTTCCGCCGCTGCCTCCCCTCCCACTCACTCACACACACGCATATATATATATATATATACACTCGCTCACCTTGTCGCCGTGTGCGCATCTGCTCCCCCCCCCCCTTCCGCCCACCTACCACACAGCATCGATACCCTCAAGAAGAACCTCCTGCGCATGGACAAGGTCATCGAGGAGTACCGCCTCGAGCGCGTCGAGCGCCGCGAGAAGAAGCGCCCGATTGTCTAAGAAGCCCTTCACTTTCTCTCCCTCTCCCCTGGCTGGCCACCGCGCGCTCCCCCTCTCCCCCTCCCTGTCCTTGTACCATCCCTTCTCCCGGAGTTCCCCCCTCCTTCCCCCCTCCCCATTCGCGGCTAATGGCCTCCCTCGATCTGTCCCTCCCCCCCTCTCTCTCTCTCCCTCCCAGCCAATAACACACATAGATGCTCTCTCCCGGACCGGGCAGTGCTCTTTTTGCCCCGAAAGAGGGAGGGATGCCTGGCAGGGCAGGGTTCGGCACAAGCGCGTCGTCAAGGCGCGCACGCGAAAAAAAAACCAAAGAAACATGCGAGAACGTGTGCATGCATATGCATATATATAGAGAGAGATAGAGATAGACGGATGGATGATGGATCAGGCAGAGCGGGGCCCGGCGCGCAGGCATCTAAAGGTCCCACACAGCTGGGTCTCCCTGTCGTAACATCAGCAAGGAAGCGAGATGATGAGGCAAGGTGCCAGCACGCCAGGAGTGCCGAGACGGGGGCTTTTTTTCACAGGGGGAGGGGAGGATGGTAGAAAAAGGGCAGAGGGGTGGCAAAGAGATCGCGCGGCACATCCAGAGAGAGAGAGAGAGGGGGGGGGAGGGGGGGCAAGATCGGGCATTACAGCTGCTCGAGCATCTTCTTATCGGCCTCACGCTGCATGGCAGCCAGCTGCACATCGGCCGGGGGCTTGGTCACCCACCGGGCCACGGCGATGGCCAGCAGCACTATTGAGTCAAGAGAGAGAGAGATGGAAAGAAGTTAGACCACCGTGTGATGTGCGAGATGGGGGTAGGGGTGGGGGGGGTGGGGGGGAGGACGAAGCAGGGGCAGGAGAGGAAGAGGAACACGCACCGCCAGACCCCAGATAGTAAGGCACGGGCTTGGCACCGGTGAGCTTGAAGTTTCGGAAACCCTCATACGCCACGTAGGCGGAGGCGGCGGCGAAGGAAACCGAGCCGACAATGCGGCAGGCATTGCAGTAACCCTTGTGGGAGAAGGTGCCGTCGATGGTGGGCTCGGGAATCTTGGGGTTCGTCATGGTGATTGTGCGTCCGGCCGACAGACGGAAACGAAGATGGAAAACGGGAGAAGGGAAGGAGGAGAGGGGAATGGGAGGTGGGGGAGGGGGGAGTTTGTCAGAGCATCTTCTCGGTGTACGGCGCCAGGGCGCCGGAAAAGAAGGAGGCTCCCGCGCGCGCCACTGGATCCACCCTCGGAGGAGGGTCCAGCAGTGGGGGCAGTGTGGCGTCCAAGCCGAGCGCCGAGCGCCGGGCGCACACGCCAGAACACCCACGCTGGTGAGGACCCATGCACCGCCCGCACCCAGGTTCCGGCGGGAGGAGCGTGCCGCAAGGGCATGGCATGCAGAAGGCTACTCGTGCGGTCCCCCCCCCCCAGTTGCCTGTCTCTGCCCCGTGCCCGAAGCGTGGCCAGACCACACAGCGAAAAAAGAAAAAAAAAAAGCCCGCCCCCAACGTGTCCCACCACAGCAGCGAAGCACGCCAACTCCCCTGGAAAAGGATCCTCGCGGGGGAGACAGAGCCGCACGCCAGGAGGACCGCAGTCCCACAGGGTCCTGTTCTGGAGTTGCACGTGGTGAACAATTCACGTGCATATCGCGCCCTCGTCCGACGACCCCGGCGATCGGCGCGTTCGCAGCCGCACCGCACACGCACACACATATACACTCGCAATGTTCGGGCAGCGGGCATCCACCCGCGAGCAGAGCCTAAAGGGAGAAAAGGATCCGCCCGGCGCACTCACTCACACGGCCCGGGAGATGACATCCGGCCCTGTACAGGCGTCTGCCCTCCCATTCCCCTCGCTGCCCAGTCTGCCTCGCAGGCCCATTTTTCCGGGGTGTTCCCTCTCCTCCCCCCTCCCCCCTCCCCTCCCCTCCCTTCCCCGCTCACCATCCTTTGGCGCCATGCCGCGTGCCAAGCTGCCACTCTTCTCGCCCCCTTCGTTGGAACGCCAAGCCGTCCCGGCCGAAACCACTCCGGAAGCCGCTGCCACTCTCGCCGGAGCTGACACTCGACTGAATGCCCTCAGTCGCTTTTCTCACATCCATGCGCGGCCAGAGTCCGCCTCCCGCGGCCGGGCCTTCTGCGACATCATGGCCAACAAGGCGGTGGTTGTCATTGGCACTGGCGGTGTGGGGGCCGTGGCCGCAGAGATGCTGGCCCGGTCACACATTGGCCGCCTCCATCTGATCGATCGTGACCGCTTTGAGCCGGCCAACCTCAATCGGTATGCCACGCCGGCTGACCCCCCACTCCCCCTCCCTCCCTTTCCCCGATCGCCCACTTCCTGCTGCCTGGCTTTTTCTTTTTTTCGCCTCCCGGCCCCCTGCCCTGCCCCATGCACCCAGCCTGTCCTGACCATTGGCCAGCCTCGGCGCCGAGATCGGTGACCTCCACCAGAGCAAGGCCTTGGCCCTGGCCGCGCGCCTGCGCCAGTACCTCCCCGCGGCTCCGCCCGACTCCTACACCTCAGTACTGGCTGGGGTTCCGCACGAGGACAAGCCTCAGGCCTTCCGCGAGGCCGCCATTAATGCATACTGTTGGGATGTTTCGGTAGTCGAAACAGCCGCCCATCTTTTGACCCTGTGCGTGAGGCCCCCTGCTGGGCTTGCTGCCCTCCTCCGCCCTCCTTCCCATTGACCCCGACCGCCATCGCCCAAGTCTCAAAACCGGCTCCATTTGCGGCACCCGCCCGGTGGACCTGGTCATCTGCTGTGTGGACAACTACCAAGCCCGGCTGTCCGTCAATATGGTATGCTCCTGTCGCGTCGCGCTTCCTCTCCCTTGCTCCACCGCCTGAGCCGTTCCTCACCCTGTCTTGCCAACATCTCGCAGATCTGCAACATGATTGGGGCCACTTGGATCGAGACCGGTGCCAGTGAGGACGCTGTTGGCGGACACATCCAACTCATCCGCCCAGGACGCACCCCCTGCTTTGCGGTACGTGCAGAGATACCCATGCGTATGCCCACCGGCTGTTGCTGCTGCTGCTGCTGCTGCTGCTGCTGCTGCTGCTGCTGCTGCTGCTGCTGCTGCTGCTGCTGCTGCTGCTGCTGCTGCTGCTGCTGC